TCCCTGAGCATCCCCATATGCTAACTGTAATACAGTACAGCGTAAACAGACCGGGGTCACCAAGCTCCAGCGGCTTCCTGCTCTAGCAACACCACCCGCCTTCGAATTTCTGAGTGAGATCTTTCTCAGTCTCATCAAATCCTGCTGCTTAGACAATACTAAGAAGTCTTTCGAGTAATGCAGAGCATCTTTCATTCACGCATGTTCACTGATAATGAGGTCATCATTATATTTCCGTTAAAAATGAAAATTGAGTTTCAATGTTTCTAATGTCTAATACATTGGCTCTACTTAAGTTCAATTAGCTGTACTTAATATGGAATTCATGTTATCAATAAACTTTTCTTAAATCACAGAAAGAAGAAAGAAATAAAGGAAAGAAAGAAAAGAAGGGAGGGAGGGAAGTGTCAGCATTCCTGGCCCTGCTACCAATGTTACTTCTTACACATTTTGTGACCTTCAGTAGTTCATGAACTTCTGTGGTCCCATTTTCTCCATCAGAAACCCTGAACATTAATGTCTTTCGCTCCCTCCAAGAGAGCACACTGAGAGGCCGCATTTGAAGGGTTAACACAGCTAGGAGAGAGCCCTCTGGGGGAAATGTTCTTTTTTTTTTCAACCTTAAAGAGGCTTATCACAGTTCTTTGTTTCTTTGTTTTCAATGTGGGATTTAATTTTTTATGGGCAGGTTTTTAAACTTCTGCTGTTGACAAGTTTGTTGTTTTTGCTTTGCTCTTCCATAGTAAACCACGTCTGTGCAGCACATATTTTTCAATAACTTCCTTAAAGCTGGAAGAGAATTTACCTAATTCATTCCAGTAATTGTTACTACAGCACAAAGTGTGAAATAAAAATTAGTCAAGTGTATTTCTATGAGGTCATCAGAATTTTTAACATAATTAACTGATTGCTTCTGGCATACATAACCTCAGTTCCTGTGGATTTAAAATGCAGGCAACATTTATGAGGGCACCCCCTCATCCCACACATGGGAAACAAAACCTGCCCTTATTTTCCCCAGACTCTGCGTGTCAGTAATTTGACCCGGATACTTCGCGGAAGGAAAGCGGAAGATGGAGGAGGGGACGGCAGATGAAGGGGCACAGTTTACATTTTACTGGGAAAGGAGCTGCCCCGGCATTACTGAGGGAGGGGATGCTGCAGTCCCAGAAGCGGGAGCTGGCCTGGTGAGAAACCATGGAGGAGGCCACAGGAGAGTTAGAGTTGGGCTGCTTCTAAGGAAGGTTTATTCTCTCCTACAGTTAGCTCTTTTGTTCCTGCCTGTCTGGGTCTCGCAGCCTGAGAGTCCTTCGGGCAAGAAGCAACAAGTTGCGGGCTGAGGTTGCTTTGGCATATTCCCGGGAACGGTGGTGCAGCTGGCAGGAGGGCTGTGTCTCTTCCCTGGACTTCAGTTGCCATCTGCAGACTTCCTTTCAATGGAATCTAGACCCTGACAGGAACTAAGATTTGTCCACCGGCCCTCCGCCTGCACTGGGCACTCCCCATCAGAATGCCTGGCAGCCAGGCGCGGGTCCCGGGCACACTGTCCACCCTGGCCTTTCCCTTTTGTTGCCTGAGGGCTGTGTGTTGTGAGTCAAGTCACTGGGCAACCAGATGACTTCAGAAAAGTCCCATGTTCTCCGGCAGCTACTGTTCATTCCAGCTGAAAGCTGCAGAGAAAGGAGGGCACTGGGCTCGGGGGGACGCATCCCAACCTTCCTGCCAGTCCCTGAGAACTAGCCAAGCTCCCCCTAAAAAGGCTCATTTGGCATATTCCATGGGCAAGTAGATACTACCTCACCTCTGCTCAGGTGGGAGATGGTAGCCCCTCCCTGTTAAATGTGCACCTCAACATCTTTTCTCCAAGTGAGTTTTGTACTAAAAGCACTGTCACCGCGAACAGGTGGGACAGAAGGGAGGAGCTCCTTGCCTGCTTCTGTTGATGTCATTGGCTCAGGGGCAAGAGACGAGACAGGTGAGAACTGCTCTTCTTCCTATCGGGAATGACTGTAAACTGAGGCGATGCTTTGCCCTTAGTCCCTGGTTTGTGGTTTGGGGCAGTAGTAAGAGTTAAAGTACTTGCTCTTTCTAACTGAATCTCCTCTAGGCCATAAAAACTCTTCTCTTTTCTCTTCTTTTGTAAGCCTCCAAGCTCCCTTCAGGAGTTGCTACACCTTCAGATCGGGACATCCTTCCTCATTTGCAAATCTCAGCAGTGTCTGGGGGCAGGGCTGCAGTGGAACAGCCAGGAGCAGAAAGAAAGGCTTCCAAGTAATTACACTGAATCAGAAGTAGGGAAACTGGGGGCAGATCAATCTGGGATGTGACAGCACCAGGAGGCGCCTTCCCCAAACAACACTGAGGACAAAAGCTGACTCTTTCTTGCCTTGGTAAATTCTGCATGGTTTGTCACCTAAAGCACATCTGAGAACAGGTATGATTGAGCTCAACTTTCTTTTATTTGAAGAGTTTGTGGATTCAGGTCTATGGACATCAGGCATTTAGAATAGACTTGATTTTGAAATGCAATAGATCAGATTGCTTCTTGGCAGCTTCCCTTTACCAACTGTGTTTAACTTAGTTTAGTAGTCAGATGACTGTGCAGCAGTGCCTAAGCGGATCCAGAAAGCATACAGAGGGGACAGAGAGGATGCTGTCTAAAGAACAGACTGGGTGGTCAGAGGAAGGGTTCTGGCTGGATTTTGGAAATGTTCACCAAATAATGCACAATCCAGCCCAAAGAAAGGTGATCGCATATTATACCTCAGCTCTTCATTAAACCCAAAAGCTGAATTTATCATGCTTCTTTAGGATGCTGGTCAGTTAAGACCACTGTGCACTTTTCAATTGTTTTGCTGCCTGAATATGGCTCAAGAAGAGCTGTGATAGGTATTTCAAATGGATTTCACTAAAAACATAGGATTTCTGGTAATGAATATATGTTCTGGTTCAAAGATTTGAAATCTTAACATTTAGACCCGGTAGTCTGAATCATATCAGTGAATGAATGCCTTGATAAACTGAGTTTCAGTCTGAATATGGTAATTCCACCAGAGCAAAGTTAGTTTCCTTTTTATAATTTAGGAAAGAAGTGTTTGGACAAAATTTGATACTTTAAACAAGATAGCAGATGGAATGACAAACCTAGTCAGAAATTCTTAGGTTGGGTTCTCTAAATTGGCAAATTTGCTACTCACATGAGAACATATATTCATGGATTATTAAGTAGCCCAGTCACTTATTAAACCAAGTTAGAAAAAAGAACAACTTCTAAGCTGAAGGGCCTTTAGTCGCAACTGTTATGAATAAGAAGACTGTGCAAGCATTCAAATGGTACTAAAGTTGAGACACTACAAAACAGTCTGGTCAACCACTACCTTACCAAGTGGAAATTAATTGAGTTTTATGATTTAGAGGTTGATATATAAAATAATAGTAATTTTTAAAGCTCTTTTGGTATGTCTGGAAAACTTCCTGTCCTTTCCTTCTAATGAAGAAATGTCAGGTAGTAAGGTCAACTAACAACCAGCAATCTTGAGATTTGACTACTATTTTAATGGTGCATTTTGGGTAATTTTTAATTATTGCCTAGAAAATTATTCAGCTACAGATTCTCCATTGTGTAGTACATCATAGGGGTTAAGATTTCTATTTCCTCTGCTTTCAAGTCAGTTACTTCACCTCTCTAAGCTCAAGATTATCTGTAAAATGGAAGTGAAGGCACTGATCTCAGTGTTTTCTGCAAGACGAAATAACTTAATATAACAGGAAGTATTAACAAAGCAGCTAGAACATAGTAAATGCTAAATAAATGGTTTCATACATACACCTTAAAATCACCCATATAATTTACATGTCTCTTGCATTTTGATCATTTTCTGATCCTACCCCCTAGAAGCAGAAGGTCAAACACAGTAGAGAGTCCTGCTGTATGATAGCAGGTCTGATGGCTTACCTAAGAAAGAGAAGATAGAAATTAACAAATACTGACATTTGATAGCATGAGTCTACTCTAGTCTCATCTTCCATTACAAAAAAAAAAGTCAAAGAATGCCAGCCTTTTATTAAGTGAGGAATGAGTAATCTAGTAGGAGAATCAATCAGCTCAATCAGCCTTTTCTGGTATCGCCATCAATTTAATTTTATTCAGAGTAACTATGAAGATTCTTCAACTTCCTGAGACTCCTACCTGAAACCTATGGTACAAATTAGTTGTAATAACCATTTGAGGAATTTTTGCACTCTTTTATTATAACTAGAAACTGTTCACTTTATATATGTATGGTACACTGGACTAGTTTTGGGGCAACTTTTCCTACTAGCCAGCAGAATGGGCTCTTGGGAAAATCATACCCATCATGTCTGAGCTTCCATTTTCCTTGCATACTGACCCCAATGTATTCCAAGTTGTTTCTTTCCAGCTCTGAGAGTTCCATTCCTAAATTCCCTTTATTTCCAAGGTCAATACATAAGATAACTTGCAGAACTACTTTCTTGATTCTCCAAATAGTAATGGAGAAACCAGCTCACAAAATTTGAATTTGTAAACTTTTAAAAATATAAAATTGTAACCATAGATGAAGTAAGATAATCTCTAAAATAAACATTTAGTTGTGCCAAAAAGGAGTCCCAAATAAACTTCTGTAGCTCTGAAGGGATAAAGTACAGTGAGTGAGTTAGGAAGGGAAACACACACACGCACACACACACACACACACACACACACACACACACAAGTAATGAGATGAAATGAAAAGAAATCTATCCCATCAGATAGGAATCCCCACCAATCCAAGGTCTGTTTTTCAGGAGAGACAAAACTGCTCCCTCCCACTGAAACTGATCTGATATTTCATAAAGTAAGCTATAGTTGTGAGTAAGGAGAAGCCAAATAATAATTAAATCTTAAAATAAACATTTTCATTTTATAGGTATGCTTTGATTCAGCAAAGAGGTCCCACTGAAATACATATTTATATATTTATATTTAGATAGATAGATATAGCTAAGAGTATATAGTTTTTTGTTTTGCTTTGCTTTGCTTTGCTTCAGAGAAATGCAATAGTTTATCAAATAACTAAATGTCTGTGATGCTTCAACAGGGCTCAATTTTAACAAGTCAAATGGGCTAAATTGGAAAACAGGTTTCAGCAAATCACACTTATGTACAAGCCTATATATTTTCAGAAAGAATTTGTCTTCAAATACTGATGCTGGTTGATTTTTTTCTTTTTAAATTTTCATCACATTTGTCCCAAAAGATCTTTAAATAAACCAAGAACAGTTAGAGAAGAAAACTCTTTCCCTAATTCCCCTGCTTTTGTTTGGATTACAATTCACATTTGTAGTAAACTGAGAGAGGGATTGTGAGGAGTAGAAGGAACCTGCCAAGTTCCTTCACAGATACCCAAACAATTTAACTTGAGCAACACCCATGTCTTTCCAGTTCTCCCACTCTCCCATGTGCCTCGGGCTGCTTCCCATTAGCCAGGGCCCTGATGTCACCACCTCCCTTGGAACACTGTCCTTGGGATATCCATTTGGCCAGGCAGGCTGGTGGAAGGGTCTTGGGTTCCCTTAATATCTGGAAATGTGCTTTTCTCTCTCCAGTTCAAATATACTAGCTAGAAGAAGAAAAGAGAAACAGATAGATTAAGATGGCAAGTGGGAATGTAATTAGTGTTCATTGGTGCAAATGTCTGTAGATATAATCACTTCAAGAGTAAGCAGGACATGGTGTCATCTTTAAGTATAGGAACAGTATTTATTATGGTGAAAAATTACACCCTTCAAATAGTGTATCCATTAAGAATCAATCAATCAAATTCCAAGTTTTATAAAAATCCTTTCAACCAAAACATTTTCAAACCCATTAATGAACACATTACTGAAAATAAGTTGAGTTTAGAATATACCTCAACATACACGGAACTTTAATGATAAAAATAAGTGAGAAGAATTTCTTTTTCTTGTCTTACTCCCTTGGAGAATTTAAGATGGATTCTACGATAATCTGTATCCTAATATTTTCTAACCTCTTTCTTCTGCTGCTTATTTGAGTAATTGCAATAGATTTTCCATTGGGTTGTAGTGAAGATTCAATGAGTTATTGATTATGAAGCACTTAGAACAGTAAGTAGCATGAAGAAACTATTATTACTATTACTATTATTGTAAACTGACCACAAATATAATTAAAACCAATATTCTTACTGTACAACCAAATAAGTTACTCTTTCATAAGATCTCTTAAACAATTACCATTATCTTACCAAACTCTCAAGGTAAAAAAATCAAAAATCAAAAACCTTCTACATATTCTTTATTCTTTCTTCATATAAGGTACTCATTTTTCTGTTTTATATGCTAGAAACATTACATCTATATAAATACATCCTATATTATTTTGAAAAATCATCCCAGGACCAATATACAAAATGCATTTTAAAAGGTAGGTATGTTCTCAGCATGAAGACAAACTTGAAAGTTATATATGTTTATTGCATGTGTGTTGATATTTTGAGGTTTCTTTTGCCTCTGATTGTTGGCAAGCAATTTCAGCAAGGAAATAACCTCTCAGTTTATAAACAGATCAGGTTAAGTACCAAAAAGAATATGGAGATAAACAAAACAGGATACATCTATATAATTTTTTCCTGCTCCTTTTTTCCTGTGGGTGCTCTTTCATCCATACTGTTAGTCATTTGCTATCAAACTAGAATCTTCCCTATCTCTCTGTCTGCTTGCCACCCACTGAAAAACCATAGCTTTGTGCTAAGAAAACTTGGTATAACTGTATGCCAAATAAATATATCCACATCTCCAGATGGGTGTCCATTTGAATCACTGCATTCTGTAATTTTTTATCGGTTATAGTAATTGCTCTTTTTAAACAACCTCATAAAAGAATTTTTTTTCAAAAACAGGGAATAAAGTCTTTTTTCTTTAATAGAAGATCCAAAGAAAGCAAAAATTTCTTATGAGGATATAAGGTGAGGGGCAATTTCAAATATATCTTTGCAACATTCTTCACATCTACTCTCCCACCTTTTACTGAACACTTGCCCTCCTACTATTCTCATGTCTTCTCAAACAGATTACTACAAAAAGCTCCAGTTTCTCTATCTCTTGTCCTTTCATCTGCTTCCAGTACATTCTACAGTCAGTATCATCTCCCTTGTTAATCTCCTGCCTGGAAAAAAAAAAGTTTCTTATTTTTAACAGAATGAAAACCAAACCCCTTATCTTTCCATGCATGGTGCTTCATGATCTGGTCTCAACATGCCTTTTAATTTCTTTCCCTCAGAGCCTTTGGCTCCAGCTAAACCAAATATTTTCTGTTGATCAAACTCCATACTTACAAACTTTACTTCCTTGGCTCCTTCTGGCTCCTCTCTTTGGAATGACCTTTCACAAACTTTTCTTCTTGTGATCTAACATATATGTATTTACATGAACTAACAGAGGTTTAAATAAGTAAGGAGTTTATGTTTATCATGTTTAAAAAAAATGTCCAGACATGACTATCCAGGACTGGTAATATGATTTCATAGAACCATGGGGAGCCCAGACTACTTACAGATTTTATTCTTCTGTTTGTTGCCTCATGTTTGCAAAAAGGCTGCTCCATCACCATTACCATATGTACATTCTAGGCAGGAAAGAAGGAAAAGGGAAAACATCATGTGGCAGCTAAGTCAATCTCCTTTTTAAAAATTTCCATATCCAGAAACTTCCAAATATATTTCGTTGGCCAGAATTATATCATAATTTAATCTTAGCTATAAGGGAAGCTGGAAATTATAGCTGTTTACTAATCACATGCTTGTTCTGAAGAAATCAGTGTTATATGAATCAGAAAGAAAAATAAGGTGGAAATAATATGCATTCATCAGCATTGATCATACCCTTTAAGACTTACTCAAGTAGACATGTTCTCAAAGAAGGTATCCTGAAGTCTTTCAGACAACTGCCAGTGCCATTTACCTCCAGCCTTACTTGTTGTTTATTTTCATGATTATCTCACTTTTCCTTAAACTCTGCAACTTCATGGTGATCTCTGAACCCTCTAGAGCAGCAGGCACAAAGACAATACTTAATATTATTTGAGTGATAAGTTTAACTTTATAGATGAGAATGAAAAAAGCAACTGTTTCCTGTATTTAGGTAAGGTTGTATTCCCTTGTAGCAAAAGCATGACTTATAAAACTTTATGTAGGACAGGCAAGCTATGGCCTGTGGGCCAGATATGGCCACAACCTGTTTTTGTATGGGTAAGAATAGTTTTTACATTCTTATAAGGTTCAAAAAAATAAAATAAGAATAAGTGATAGGGACTGTATATACCCTGTAAAGTTAAAAATAGATACTCTCTTCCCTTTTACAGCAAATATTTGCCAACCCCAGACTTAGATAAAAATGTACCATCTTTCTCCTTTTCATAGTTGTATGTCATATGTTATTTAAGGATATGGTTATAATATCCCAGATTTACTGGAACTCTCACTGTCCTTTGAAACTTTTTGTATAAGAAAACCTGCCAACCTCCTCTTCTCCTGTCAGGAAAAACTAAATGGCCTATCCATAAGTTATATTTTTAATGATTTTTTTAGGTAATAACGTTCTCCTGTTGCTATATAAATTATTAAGAAAAAAATAGATGGGCATCCCCAAATAGGAATAAGCATGAGAACCAGCGAATTCTCTTTATATCGTTAGATAACTTTAGTATTGTTGAGCTGAATGGAAAAAGCAATCTGTTCTTGTCTTGGCTATCCTTTATAACCTGACTGCATCATCCAAGCAAGTAATTTGGGGATGTATATATAAAACAGTCACCTAAAAGCTGTTTTATTTGAATGATGTGTAAAGTATTTTAAAACTTATTTTAATGAAGTATAAAATCTTCCTAACTGTAAGTTCAAGAAAGACAGGGAGCTATTTCATCTTCATTGTCACTGAAGCCTCCAGTGCCTATTGCAAAGCCTGGTAGAGAAAAGGATTTGTTTAATAGTCACTGTGTATGCATGGGTGTGTATATGCGTCTACCTCCCCTTCATCCCAAGACAATGAAGTTTTGTTTACACTATCACATGTCACCATCCATTAACACTGAGCTAATCATTATATGGAAGAAGTTAAGAAGTTCTACCACACAAATTCTACTTTTTCCATGTAAGTTCTACTTTCATATAAATTTAGAGTCCTGGAAAACAATACATGAAGAAAGTGGGATTTAGAACTTTGACACAATTTCTGAAGGTCAAATCTATAGACGTTAGTGGAATCAGAATCAACAGAGGTGCAGTCTGTAATTCCATGGTGCCTCTCCATCACTTGATTTCCTTTCCTATAAACACTGCATGTCCTCAAATTAGGGGAATTTCTTAATAAAAATAACTCATGTATTCCTAAGTAAAGCAGATATTCATAATAGTACTCAGTAAAGGTGTAGAATAAACTAACCAAAATATTAAAGCCTACTATATTAAAACAAAAATCTCAGGGAACAAACCAAACAAGTTCCTTTAAGAGCCTTGGGACTTCTATGTTACATTTAGAAAATGTGCTGGATAAGTAAAAAAGTAAATTATAATTAAGGAATAGAAGTAGGACCATGTACTAGATTGCATACCTCTTAAAATCAATAAATTGCATTAGTATTCCCCTTACTAAGACAAGTTTACCAAGTTAGTGTCATGGAAGCATTTTTTTCCTAAAGGCATGTGCATTTGACTATAAGTTAAAATAGCACAGGTATGATTGTTACTCTGTCACTTTGTGAAGCATTTTCTCCCTCAAAAAATTTCCAGAACTCTTATGTAAGCATGATTATAAAAGTGCACATGCCATTAGTTCTGATCTTTTCATCTAAAATTTCTGTGAGAAAAGCAAAGAACTGTTTTCATCTGGATCCTGACTCAGCACATTTATCTTTTTAACTTTTAGCCACTGTCTCTGTTTACACATATGAAATACTCTCACCAGAACAAAGGTCCCAGCATTGATACGTCAACCACAAACTGGCAGTTGAGGGAATAGAAGAAGCCAGAGTCCACTGGAATTGTTCATACTCCTAATGGTCTTGTTCAGACACTATCTGGCTGAGATTCCTTTTGACACTGATCTGTCTTAGCAGGTGGCTGACCAGATTTACCTGCAGAGACCAGAAACATGCATTGTGCCATCCAAAAAGCAGAAGTGCTGGATGGCGCTCATTTGATGCAAATCCTCTGGCATGATGGTGCAGAGTCTCTCTACCCAGCCGTATGGCTGAGAGACAACTGCCAGTGCCCCGAGTGCTACCTGGATTCTGCAAAAGCACGGAAACTTCTTGTCGAAGCTCTTGATGTGAACATTCGTATTAAAGGCATGACGTTTGACAGAAAAAAGGTAATTATCTTTAAATTATCTCTCCCAAGTTAAACGAAGGTGTTAGACTCTGACAATTTTAAAAATGAGTTTACATTTGATTATATATATGACTATATATATAAACCTGTTAGTATAGAACTTGGTGCAACATAAGCATGCTCAGAAAGTAGAAGCATCAGTTGTTATATCTTTATTACCAGTCTATTATTTTTAATAAATATTACCATACAGCTCATTCTTTTGGTGAGTGACCAGAAAGGTTCTCCTCTCCTCTCTCTGGTCTCCCGCTGACTCGAGGACTTTATCCCCAGGGTTCACTGCTTGTTAGCCTTGTGACCTTAGAAATATTATTTGCTCTGATACTCCTCACCTGAAAAATGTGAATAGCGCCTTCTTCCTGGAGATGCATGAGGACTAAATGAGTATGTTTATAATGCTCATTAAAAGTAGGCACTCAAAATGGTGCTATTTTGGTTATTCTTCCTGCACATCTTCAGCATTACTATTTTGGAGAGTCTTGGCAGGAATAGTAAGTGATAGCTAACGTTAAGTTATCATAGAAAGTTTGGAAACCACAGATTTAGAGGATATAGAATAAGAATTTTCAGATCTAGCCAGTTCTTATTTCTTGTGTGATATTTAAAGAGCCTCAGACCTCAGACATATCTCCTTGCTTTCAGTTCCCTTGTTTTTCAAAAGCTGATTCTATGCATGTAAGTACGTAAATTAAAAAAAAAAAAACAGGGGCTAATCAGATACCCTGATTATCTTAAGTAGCATTCAGACACAGAGCAATAGTGGAGAAATGAAGTATATAGAAAATAGTATACATATAGATGATCTTTGCTTTCTGTGTTATAAGGTTCACATCATGTGGCCAAATGAACATTACAGTGAATTTGAAGCTGATTGGCTGAAGAAAAGATGCTTTTCACAGCAGGCCAGAGAAAAACTCCAGAGAGAATTGTTTTTGCCAGGTAACTTTGCTACAGTCTTCAATGTCTTTTAAAACTCATGATAAGAAATGTGCTCAGAAACAAATTCAGACCTTTGTGCTTTGGTTAAAATACTATCATAGTTTATGTGGGATGTTTAATGATTTACCAATGCAGATCATCTGGGTTGAGAGGAAAAGAAATAAAGCAGTTCTAGACATTCTACAGAGACAGGAAGAACAGAAATGTGGCAAACTGGTATTTTTTGTCATCTAAAGCAAAACCTGGCACAGCACAGACACTCCATAAATGCTCACTGCAAAGAACTGGGATGACCAGAGGCAGACTTGCCCTTTCCTAATAATTTTATCTAAGGCCAGAATCACACAAAATCACCAAAGCAGGAATCCCTAACCTAGTAGTGACAGATAAAACTGTAATCCACAAACTCTATGAGATGATATACCCGACATAGAGTGTGCATGTGTGTGAGTATGTTTGTATGCAAGTATGTACACATGTGCACAGCAAATTTGCTTGGGGAGAGTTTACATGGGTCTCAAGGATCTGAGACAACACAAATGTTCAGAAAATCTGCAAGAGATAGGTTGAGTGGAAAAAGAAGATTTTATTATTGATTTGTTGACAGAAGAAAACAAATAATTAATACAGGTAAAAGGTTATTTTTAAATTATGACTTTTAGGAGATAAAAAATAGAGTTCAAGCAGAGGCACTGGGGAGAAGTGGGAAGTGTTAATAATTCATTTTCTGTATACTTAGATGATTGGTATCCTAAAATTATGTGCATCAAAGGCAAATTCTAAAAATGTGATGATTTTAATGTAGAATCTTGACTTACTAGAATGTTGACTTCTACAAACACACCAACAAGACAAGTTTCCCTGAATTTTTTTCTCACTGTTAGCCAGATATGTTGAACTACCCTCCCTTTGAGCAAATGACCAGCCTTGTTGAACTTTCTAACACCTCTTCTGGGAATTCTGGGTCAAACAGCAAGACAGATGTTTCTTTCACCTTACATACCTTTCAATCTGAAATTCTAAAACAGCTGCAGTAATTCTCCCTGGGTCTAAACACTAGACTTAGAACAGTTTACTGGGTGTAGAGACGTTACAAATTAGTCAGCTTGAACCACATAGCTTCCGCTTGCCCTGTGGTTATCAATGGGGTATCATACACTCCCTTCCTGTTCAAGCAGAGGCCAGTCTTGTCAAGAACTAGATTTTTTCACTCCTTTAGTCATGCCATTCTGATAACTGACAAGGTTTGCTCTAGTGCTTTCTGTCAAAACCTCTAGGAGTTCATTTTCCTCTTCATCTAGCCCAGGTGGCTGGTGGAATCACCTTCCCGCAGTGAGTACTTTGCTAGATTCTTAAGGAGTCTCCAATTACATAACTGAGTAGCAATTGTTTGGGTCAAGTAGTAGTATCAGGAATGTATTATTGTTTTTTATTTATTTTAGATTTCTTCTGGGACTCAAAATATTTTTCCTTAACTCTGTCCTAATTTTGTAACCCTATTGGATTTTACTTTAATTTCCTGTAAGTTATTCTTCTGATTATTTCAGGGAATAAATGCCAACTTTTTATTATTACAGCTTAAGCTTTTAAGCATTGTAAAAGGATATGGCCATCCCCCTTTAATATTTCTTGCTGAATGCAGTTTTTATAGATCACATCTCTCAGTACTAGCAGGCAGTAGCAAAATGGAAATGACACTGCACACCGTTTAGTGGAAAAAACTGGTCACACTGACAGACTGCAATCATGAATAATATAAGGAGAACTGGCTGCTATTTAGACACTGGAAAATATTTTAATGGTTTAAAACAAGGTCAGATTTTTTAAATATATTCTCAAACTGTGCAGTTGGTAGATTAAAGAAGAAAGTAATGGGCAACTTTTGGAATATTGCCTCTGGTGTTTTGCCTGCAGAACTTGACACCTTATTTCACTGCCCTTGAATATTTTTAAGCATTTGTATTCTAGAACATGTAAACAAACTCAGTTACATTCACGAAAGGATTTTGTTTTAAGTCCTCAGTAGCAGTTTCCTCTTCTGCTCTTTCCTTAAGAGTGAGAAAAGCCTTTTAAAATCTGGTATCAAGATGCAGACCACTTTTCCTTGATCTTCCTTTGGCACTAGATGTTGGACTCAAAAATGAAGAAACAAATGATAATCAGCCAGAAAAAACTCTTGTCATGGGACAGTCACAGCTGGAAGAAAGACATGGATAATAATCATACCCTCATAAATTTCTATTCAGTTGCACATATCTTAGGCACCTATTTTATGCCAGAAACTCTGTAAGGAAACACCAAGTTAAAAAAACAGACATGGATTCTTTCCTGAGGAAAGTCTAGGAGGGAATGCAAGCAATGAAAACAAAAAAAGTATAATACATTATTTTAAGTACATTAAAGCATGCATAAAAGGTTAATTCTACCATAGAGGAAGGAAGAAATGAGGAAATTACCTTCAGAAGGGAAGTAATACTTGAGCTGGAATCAGTTTGAAAAATTTCAGTTTTGAAGAATCAGTTTGTCATACAAAGAGAGAAGCTAAGGTAATTCTTGACAGAGAAAAGGTTATGTAGAAAATCATGAAAGTGTAAAAAATAGCAGGATAGATTTAGGAAACTGCAGTTAATTTAATATCAGTGAAGTTATAATTGTCAGACAACAGAGATGACAGGGCCAAACCATGAAGTGGCCTAAGTGCCCTTCTAGGAAGCTCAGTCCTGAACCTTCAGGCAAGCAAGGTTGCTCGCCACAGAGCGCAGGTGTGTTCCATTCCACTAGTATCTCAGGTTCATTCTTTTCCTATAAAGCCAGAGAAATGAGCTCAAGATCTTGGTAAGTTTAAGAAGATTGCTTTATTTTGTTTAGAACATTTTACACCTTCACAGTTATGCTTTTCTAATTTTGACCAACATATAATTTCTCAATTGCCTGCAAGTTTGTGAATATCTCTTTAGCTTCCCTTTTCTCCTGTTGCATCCTACCCTCCTCCAGTGTGACCCTTTGGTTTTTGGTTTGTATTTATCTTACAGAAAAGAGTGAGGTGATCAGATCTGTGTTGTTGATAGGTCTTGGCCCCAGCTGTCTGTGTTGGCTGGTCTGACATGGGGAGATACTGGGAGCATAGCACAGCCTAGAAGAGTCCTGTAAGAGACACTGAGGACTTAAACTAGGAAGTTTCAGAAAGGATGTTGTGGAATTTGTATTCAAGAGAAACATATTGACTTTTAGGACAAGAGGTTGCTGGCCCTGTTTTCTAATCTCCACCAATTTAGAACTTGACCTCTAAAGCCCAGAATATGAACATTTCCAAACATAAGGATGAAAATTGAAGACCTCAATAAAACACTGGAAATACGAAGCTTTTTATGTAATTGTATTTTAGCTCCCATGTGAAATTAACATAATTATACACTCATTTTTGTGACTAATTCTGAGGTGCAAAATTTCCAAAATATAAAAGATAGGAATAAAATTAAATAAAAAAAAACAATACAGAGAATGATGTTATATATATGAACCCAAATATTTGTTCTTTTTGGCATTTAGTGTCAGAACGAATGCTTATTTTCCTACCCATCTCTTTGAATTGATACTGAAATATTTGCATATTATTCTCTGACTTAGCAATATGTGTTATTACAAATTGAAACTAAAAAGGTAATTTGAAGAAAATCTCTTTTCCATGGAAGCAGTATTCTCAGTTTTCTCAGCAATCCTGGGACTGAATACACTGCACAGTCAGAAAAGAACATTTCTCCTCAATTCAATATGCCTGTCTCCTAGCAGAGCAAGTTTTCACTGATCTATTTAATTAGATTACAACTTTTCAATCCATAGCTATAACCCCCTCCTTTGTTTCAAAAGGAGCAGGCTCCAAGAGGGAATAAAAACTCCAAAGAACTGTCACATCCCTCTGAAAACCCTGTGCTTTGCACACACAAACAAGACCCCTTTCTTGCACAGGGCCATGTGCTTCCGTGTAGATGAAGATTTTTATCATAGTGCAAAGAACAGAGTTAGTTTGGTACAGGAGCTATTTTTATAGAAACTTGTCAAAAAAACAAAACTCACTGTTTTTTGTTAAATTAGTAATAAACACATTAAGTCTGTGTTACTTAATGTGATACTTGCATGTGATAGTTCACCCCTGTCTCTAAGCCTTGCCCCATCCTTCACCCATTCTTGAACCCCAGAGGTGGGAGTCTGCAGTGCAAGTCAGGGATGAAGTGAGGGTATTTGTTTCACATATTAGTCGGAAAAAACGTGTAGGTTGTTTTGTTCAAGCTGCCTTAAAATGTCCCAACTGTATCAGGGCTGCCAGATAAGAATGACTTCAGAACAGTTCTGTTAAAACAACTGCATCAGAGCAATCAAGCAACCTCGTCATGTGCCCAAATGCATTCCCTTCCCAGGGAAGGCCTGACACAGATTCCTTCCCTGAGGCCACACAGGCTCACACTTGGATGCACAAATTGAAAAATAGCTCAAAGTCTTCATATGTTTTAAGAAGCAAGTCTCATTCTATTTTGCCTTCATATTTGAAATGGACCATTGACTTTCAGAGAATGTCTTCCGGGTTTTGATGAAATGAATACATCTTGATAATATGGTAGCCTAAGGGCCTGTGAGTTTATGAATACATGTTTTGCCTCATTTTTCCTTTGTGCCATATTGATATATTGCAATGTATCCTATTCTTTTTTGAATTACATATTATTTATTGTTTCACTCAATTTCTGCATTGTACTTGGTAGACTTGGGCATAATATCTAAACAGCCTAATGTCCCTACATGGGATGAGCCCATCTCTGTCCTGTAAGTCCAAGATGGGAGATTCACATCCTCCGAAGTGCTTTGCTGTGCCCTAAATCCAGCAGATGCCACTAATCTGGAGGATGTTCATACCTCCATCTGCCTTATTTTTGGTTTCACTTGTAAACTCTACATACAATCCTCTTCCTTTAAAACATTCTTAGGTAAGAGACATTAATTGTACT